AAAGTGCATTGCAAGAAATAAAAAAGCAAATGTGTCTAACAAATAAAAACAATCCCCAATGGAGCTCCATTTGTCATGTTTGAAATGCTAATGCTGGTGCAGAGACAAGGCAAACACCGGGGAAAAGAAGAGCTCTTAGAGAATCGATATTAGAATTGAGTTCAGCTGCTGAAGTTCTGTCTCGCACTCCAGCTCTGCCGATCATCTGTCCACTGTGGACAAAACTGCTGCCACGAGAACCCAGTTCAATCAAGCTCTGTTACTCTAAGCACCAAACCGGGCGCCGCTCGACTGAAGAAAGAGTGGCGTCCACTGATATGGGACGGAAGACACCAAACAGAAGAGTGACAAGAGGCTGAAGGAAAGAGCAGGGGTGGAACAACGATTGAAAACTAGGCTCTTTATGTGAACTAAAAGAAAGTCACTCAAAACACTACAAGCTATTTATTTTATAAATTGCTTGTATATTACTGTGGCTAGTTGAAATGATTGAAAGTTAATATGGGCTGCTGTGGCATATTATACACCTTTTGAAAGCTAAAAAAGGTGCCTGCCAAACCTCTGAAGCTAATCAGGACGTGGTTATACTGACCAGGTGTCACAGTGGGTCAGGGTGTGACTGTAAAGCGTAGAACTGCCTAGAATAACTCAACCATAACTGTGTATGGTTGGTGGTGGTCGGAGGGGCCAATGGCACATACTGGTTGCCTTGCTTCTGTCAGTGTACCCAAGGGCAGCTGTGGCTACAATAGTAGTTTTATCACCATTGTGTGTGGCGTGAATGAGTAATCACCGGTGAAGCGGCTTTGAGTGTATTGATTATCCCTATTTTAATCAATGCATAATTATTATTATTTCCAGTTAGTTTAACAGCTCACTTATAATGCAATGGTCAGAATCAGGTCCAGTCCAAACAACGTGCCACTCCATTGGACTCATCTCCCAGATTGTATTATGGTCTGTTCAGATGATGGGGTCTACTGAGGAAACAGTGCCTGCCTCACTTTCCTCCAGGCCTGGCAAGTTTTAGCAGCAGTGACATTAGAAAGAGTGCACCCAGAGGAAGCACTACACGAGCACAGAGCACCCGGGGCCCCTGCAGGTGAAGCTCTTGGAACGCAGCGCTGAAAATAACAACACAGCCCATTTGTGATTATTCATGTTTAAGGACACAACTTTTGTTTTCACTGTTTTCGATGGGACATCAAAAACATACATTTATTTGAGGTTTGTCCCTCCCTCCATTTCTTTGTTTTCCTATAAATACATTAATGTTGTTGTTTATTTTTGAGAGATTTAGATTTTTTGAGAAAAAAAGAAAGATTTTGACATCCTTTCAAAATCTGATCTATCTATTCTCATCTCATCCATCTATTCTTCACCTCTCTTTTTTGTTGCACTGAGCCAAAGCAATTTCCTAGTCTGTGACTTCCTGTTACTCACATGGCAAAAAAAAACAATGATTCTGATTTTTCTTTAATTTTGGAAAATATACAATAATAAATTAGTGAATAAAAGGCAAAATAATTAGGGATGCACTCAAATTTTGAATTCACATTAGCGTGACTACAGCAGACAGCTGGGTGTTACGTTTTGCCATGGTGATCTCCAAAGGTCGGCATCAAGAAAGCAAGCTACCGGCAAGCGGACAAGATGTCGGCTGTATAGCAGTTTTTTAAAGTAAAAAAGAGTGACAAGAATGAAGCGGACTGTATGTTGTGGTAAAACTGTCACGGGGTGAGTACAAAACAAACACCTATATCACCAGTCACTCGATAAAACTCACCACCACACAGATTAATCTTTGGTAGCACCGGAGCTATTTCTATGTACCATTTGTATGAGTGAAATAGGACAGCGGCTCTTATTGTTGACTTTTAAAACAATTGCTCAAATGTTTATTGTTAAAGCATTTTGTCATTGTTGAAATGATAAATATAACCTTTTAAATTTCAGTAGTATTAGTTTTATGATTTCCCAGGGATAACAATGCAGTACTCGTATCAGTATTTGGTATCGACAAGTATTCCAACGAAGGTACTTGTTTACTCATATTGGTTTTGAAAAAAGTGGTATCAGTGCAACCCAAAAAATATTCTATATGTGCATCTTTGTACAATCTCCATCTGGCTTTAGCTTACCTGAGAGAAATAGAACCCCCCCCTCTCACTTCAGAACAAAAAAAGTCAGGGGTTTAAACCTCTGGACGCCCAGCAGTATGAGAAATAGTGTATGCTCAGTGATCAGCCAATCAGCCATCAGGTTTGATCATGGGGTGTAGTTAAAGCTGTGGAACCTATGTTTCAAAGTACATTTTATCATAATAAAGTTCTTTGGTCACATTTTGCTACACTCTTTCTGTGGGGTTAAGCGATAATTGCAAAACAAGTGAATTGTTACAATCATTTATTGATATTTCCACAACTTTGCGTATATTTGTCAAACAAGCGAACAGCAAAGACCTTAATAAAAGCATTGTGCATTCACCAAGACACATGGCACATACAACACTATAAATTCTTCTGTAAGAAGATACACACTCTTTCACTTTGAAAGAAACAAAATATTAACCTGAGTTTATCACATTTGGGTAAATTAATGCATTTTAAGTATTCAAAAACAACTTATTTTTCACGGTTTTTATACACAACAGACCATCTTTTTTGCAGACACTATGGGATTAATCTCAATATAATGAGAATAAACTGTGTTGCATAATGGAGACAATGGAATTCTCAGTGGTGCAACGCGGCTACATTTTCAGAGAGACGCCTTGTCCAGAGTTCACAGAAGCTTTTTAGCTGTTTTGACCTTCATGTACTTGAACTAATGTTACTCATGTTATGTAAGTGTTTGCTCTATTGTGTTCCAGTCCCCGTTGAAGGAGCGCAGATTTAGTTGACGAGAGCAAGAACCCGGGAGAACCAGTTGCAGAATTGATTCAATCCTTTGAACATAACGTGAAAAATAACAACACTATTAATTTGTAATGCTGTAAGAGGTTCCATGAAGTCTGGACAGTTGTCCAATAACAATTTTGTATTGGTGCTGAATTGACTTTTTTTTTAATTGTGGGGTTCTGTATTGTTTACATGTCTATTTAATAGTACAATTTAATAAAACAATTTAATAATACTAACAGTAATTTTATTAATACAAAAATATTTTAGTTTATACATCACATACTGTAGTTTAGACAATAAAATACAGTCACATTTACACATTTCTGGAAAAAAAAGAAAATTGTGGCTAAGCTATTGTTAAATTTAGATGACACCGAGTCCAGTTTTTAAAAGCTGAAAGCAGTCCAAGCATGCTCACCTGTTTAAAAGCATTAGCCGCTAGCTGTCACCAAAGAACCCTGTGGCTTTGATCAGTGGCTGCATTGTGGAATATTGCAGAGGCGACGATAGCTAGCATCATTAGTGTGCTACGGATATCTCACCCTCAGAACTTGACACAGCATGCAATGCCAACATATTCCAAGAAAAAATAGGCAAAATTTTTGTTGAAATATAATATAAGTTTGGCAACCTACCTTCACTTACAAAAAAGTTTCAATAATCCATTTCCACATATTAAAGGTGCATGATGTCTTTTAAAGTAATTACTTGTTGGACATTTGCACCACAGTAGTTTTTATTCATTTTAGGCAACTAAAAGTGTAACTGTAAATTTTAAATATATTCTAACATACTCTTTTTTCACTTAAATAAAGAGTATTCTGTTTAACAACTCAAAAACAACTTGTAATGTGAAACCGTTAATAACAGATTTTTATAAAAGATTGAATAGGTTATATTCACAACCGAATTTTGTGACATCACAACATTCCAAAGTAAAAATTTTTGGTGGAAATTTTGTTCCCGGTAATATTGTAGTTTAGAGCTAATTTCTCTGTAATTCCAGGGCTAATCCGCATGAAACAAAACTGTCACAAAGGCCCAGATATTCTAACCCTAACCAGAGTAACCCCAACCCTAAACTGGGTCTAATTGCCATCAAAAACTGTGTCTTGGAGTCAAAGCAAAGGATGGTTTCTCACCAAACCTCTGTACTTGGTTTTCCCAACTGAAAAACTACTCTACAACATGATGACAAACTATTCTATATTAAAGCTGGGGTACATTATTTTAAAACAATGATAGAAGTAGAACCTAATCATGTGCATCCATGTTTGTCCACAAACAAGCTTTTGCGTATATTTTTTCCTATTGTGACAAATAGGAAAAAAATACAGTATTTGTGGCTCAGTTGGTAGAGCGACAGGCTCAGTTGGTAGAGCATTGGCCTTAGAGCCTGATGGTCGTGGGTTCGAGCCCACCACAAGACCTACTTCACGACTCCCACTGATGATTGCTATCGTTGTGTCCTTGGGCAAGACACTTAACCCCGCTTTGCCTGAAGCCCCTGCCGAAAAAGCAGGGGCTTCAAAAGCTCCTGTGGACTCACCACCTGCAGTAGGATCAGTGAAGGGCTGGTGCTCAGTGCACTGGGTGCAGCTCTGACTGCCACCCCCTGACCCAGAAATGGATTAAGGGGAAGAAAATGGATGGAGAAAACATATTTATACACAAATATAAGACAAAGGTTACTTTTGCTTTACTGTGACTGTCAGGGTGCTCCATATTTCCATTGCTTCTGAGTCCACATGACAGGATGAGATTCTGTCTGTTTTAAGGTTGCACAGAATTCCTGTTAGAGGGTCTGGATTTTAAATGTTGTTTTGTTTTGCCTGAAGTGTTCTACAGTGTGTCATTTAACTTTTCAATCTGCATCTGAGAAAAACAAGGAGTTAATCCAATCTAAGTTTTAAACTGAGATACATTCTATTAAAAGCGTTAACCTTCCTGTAATAATTGTAAGGCCTTACGGTTTATCTTAGATATTTTGACGACATAAGAACGATCTCTTACTCTCAACATCTTTTCTTGTTTTAGCTACTGCTTCTCAAAATGTGCTTCTCACCAGCGTCCAGCGTTTTGTCTAATCCCAAACAATCACTGAGCCCCCTCTTCCCTCACAGTTATAATTACATCATCATCCTGCCCTTTCCACAGCATCTCGCCCTCAAAGTCCACCATCTTGTGTTTGCGGCAGCGGAGAAGGATGCCCACCACTTTATCAGAGATCTTCACGTAGCGATCGAATAAGCGGCCGAAAGAAATGATGGTCCGACCCTGCTTGTCCTGGATGCCCATGTCTTTGATGATCCACACCATTTCTTCCATCTCGCGGTGGATGTGCTGCTGCGCCCGGTCCCCCCTCTGGGCAGTCTTGGAGCCCTCCTTGGGGCGCCCGTAGCCGGAGTCGCCCTTCTTGAGGCGCTGGGCCATGGCGTACTCGTGATCGAATTCCTCACTGAAGGGGTTGAGTTTCTGGCCCTCCACGTGCTGCACAGACCACTGCTGCCAGCGGCTTTTGATGTCCCCCATTGAGGAGACTTTGATCTGGAACACAGAGCGTAAAAAGAATGTCAAGATATCTGTATTGTCAATGGAACTTATTGACTTGAACTTTTGGATATTTTCCACATGTCATGATCACAAACATTTTGTTTTTGATTTTATTTTTAATGAAAGACCACAACAAAGTTAGCCTGACTCGCGCCAGACCCTTGTAGTTCCGCCATGCTCCACCAGAGGCGTTTCGCTTCAAGCGCGTACCAAACTCCTTCAGCAGATCAGAAAATAATCAACCTATCAGGTTAGCAGACAGCTGCGACGTGAAAGACACAAGATTTCAGTACATTACGTTACTTTCGGAAATGTCCTTAAACATTTTCCTATGTTTGAATGACCCAGTAAAAGCAGTAAGACCTGAAAACTGCTTTTCACAAACACTCTACATCTACTTCGACAGTGCTTGAGTTGTTTTGTAAAGACAAACAGGCAAAACTATCAGTCTCTAATTGTATAAAACTTGACTGCAGAAAAAACGTTTGATTCTCTGATGTCTGTTGGTGAATCAATAACTGTGTAAAGTCGTCCGAAGCAACTACTGTTGTGATTTAGGGCTATAATTTTTTTTTATGGATTTTAAAACAGAATTGGACCAATTAGTAGGTTAACAGATATTTGAGGGGATAAGCCAAAATATGTAGAATGAAAATAGTCCCTCCAGCAAAACCTGGGTCTTCCCCGGGGCTTCCTCGCGGTGGGACGTGCCCAGAACATCTCCCCAGGGAGGCGTCCAGGAGGCATCCGGTACAGAGGCATCTCAACGTGGAGAAGCAGCAGCTCTACTGAGCTCCTCACCCTATCTCTAAGGGAGCGCCCAGCCTCTCTAAAGAGGAAGCTCATTTCGACCGCTTGTCTCCGCGATCTCGTTCTTTCGGTCATTACCCAAAGCTCATGACCATAGGTGAGGGAGGGAACAAAAATTGACCGGTAAATTGAGAGCTTTGCCTTTCGGCTCAGCTCCCTCTTTACCACAAAGGTCCGATACAGCGACCGCATCACTGCGCACGCTGCACCGAGCCGCCTGTCAATCTCACGCTCCATCCTTCCCTCACTCGTGAACAAGACCCAGAGGTACTTGAACTCCTCCACTTGAGGAAGGACCTCTCCGCCCACCTGGAGAGGGCAAGGCACCTTTTTCCGGTTGAGCACCATGGCCTCAGATTTGGAGGTGCTGATTCTCATCCCAGCCGCTTCACACTCGGCTGCAAACCGTCCCAGTGCATGTTGTAGGTCCTGCAACTTTGTTGTGGTCTACCTAACTTTCAAACTAAATCCATCTAAGTTCCTTGCTCTAGACAGTTTGGTTGTATCACAAGTTTTTACATGTATTTTTTTACATGTATTTCGGCCAGAAATTAGAAAAGAAAGGACCAAACTAAATCAGCTCTCGCCACAAAGGCAAATAATGACTCACATGTACAAAAGAATATAATGAAATTAGAAAAAATTGGACATGTGGATGTAAAACAATATATTATTTCCATCTTCAGATTCAATTGTGGTCCCAACAGTGGTACTACAGTGTTCCCTTGCTATAAAGCAAGGCAAGGCAAGGCAAGTTTATTTGTATAACACAATTCATACACAAGGCAATTCAAAGTGCTGAACAAAAATAAGAAAGCATTAAAATCATAAATAATCACAGTACATTAAAAAGAAAGATAAAAATATAAAATCCCCCAGTTGTATGCACAGCTAAACAGAACTGTCTTTAACCTGGTTTTAAACATTGTCAGAGAGGAGGCCTGTCTCACATCTTCAGGAAGATTGTTCCAGATTTTAGCAGCATGAATCTGAAAAGCAGCACCATGTTTAGTTCTGACTCTGGGCACTAACAGGAGTCCAGTCCCTGTGTATAACACGGTTTACCTTTTATATGCACAGCGGCTCTCAGACCTACAACAAACAAGTTTAATATCTATGAAATCGCACTCCAGCAGTTGTGTGTTCAGGTGGGTAGAAATGTGAATAAAGTGTGGGATTTTACTGCCAACAAAACATAGCTGCTATTGAAAAATATCAAATAAAACAAGAATAAGTTGATTGTATTAGCAGGTGCTGCATACACTGCAGGAAACTGGAGTTGGCCTATCGTTAAGCGTTCCTTGGGGCTTGCCGGGTTGTCACTTGATCCTGGTATTTGTGCGATGAAACTAAGACTTGACACATGCAGAATCTACCAAGGCTCTTTCAACTCTTAAAGCGACAGGCTAATGCACGGGATCAACTCCCATCCGGTCAGCATGCCAAAGTTCACTATTCCATTATGGGCATGTTTTTTTAAACAAAGCTCTTAGGATTGTCAATGACTCTTCTGGCCACCCTGGGAAAGCCATGTTCCAGCTTCTTCCTTCTGGCAGAAGATATCGCTCTCTGAGATGCATCTCGTTACGCTAACAGCTTTTATCCACAAGCTGTTATCAGTGTGAACAGAGCACTTTAATGATTTGCACTTGTTTTGAAACTGTTTTAGTCGATCGATTTCACAGTGACATTTGTTTACTGTTTTATTTGTTTTATTTTTGTCTTTTAATGTTGTTTTATGTCTGTATTTGTCTGTGCACACTGGAGACTTTTGCTAATGTATTCCTAAGTGGTGTTTTTACTGCAAATGGCAAATAAACTGAATCTGAATCTGAATCTGAGTTCACTATTCCATTATGGGCATGAATTGAGATTGATTTGAGGATAGGACAAGATAAATAAAAGTGTAGTTTAAAGGATATTTTTAAAGGTGATGACAGTGACTTCAATTGTATTCAATATTTTTAAGAATGCGTATTTCTTACCTTATTATAAATATTAATATACTAACAAAATTATTTAATAACTGTCTCTCCTCTTAGCAAAAACATAACCAGTAAGAGTAGTTCCAAGGATTTTAAAAAATTTTCATCTGAACGCTGTGAGGGTGAGCATGGGTCTAACTTAAAACGTTGATCTCTCTCTTCATAATTTGAAAAGTGAAGCTGTCTAAGAAAGTAAGTCATCTTAATTTTTATTAGTGCCTTTCAAAGACAGAGTCACAAAGTGCTTTACAATATTGTTTAGGTTTTTTGTGGCATTTTATCTCTCACTCCACTGAAGCGGGGTAACCTCAGGATAATGTAGGGGGAGAAAAGGGGGAATCATGGAAACAACAGGCCCCAAATCGAATCCAGGACCTTCTCGCTGTGAAGCACAATCCCTAACTATAACTAACAGTGTATCGCACTGCTGTCTTAGTAGTGCTTGAGATGGTTACTTTCATATGTGCCAAATTGCCTGGGGACACTTCCAAATCACTATATGATGACAATCCATGCGTTAACAGTCAAGAATGGTAGATGCATAGTGTCTTGTATGCAGAAGATCATACTCAAACATGGACTTCCCTTTTATTTTCCACAGTTCCATTTGCATAAACTAATGTCTTACATAAGCGTATACGACACTGACCTCCTGTCTGTAAAATTAAGTTTGACAGCTCTCTGCCTGCTGACATCCATGTCCTTGTGCAATTACAGCCTATAACAATATGCATGCTTTAGAAAAGGTGGGACATTACACTGAGTCTCCAAACAGCAACTTGAAAGATTAAGTTGTACCATAGTGTCCCGATAAAGGTCAGCCACCAAAAGAATAATGTTTGGGACTATTTTTATTCCTGCAAAGTCTGCTCTTTTGTGAGTGCAGTGATCCAAGCGGGGATGTTTTGGTTTTTAAAGATTCAGTCATTCATCTTGCGGGACAAATAAAGGATGATAATCTTAAATCATTCGTCCATTCAGGTAGTCCTCAAAAAACCAGTGAAATTATCACAATAAGTTTGAGTAAGATTGGGTATGAATACAGATGTAATTCAAACCATTTAAACTTTACCTTACAATTTTTTGGGGTGGTTACAATATTCCGCAATGTGTTTGGTCGCAATGCTTGGCCGTATGGATAAAGTATTGAACAAATTGCTGTATATATTCTTTTTTTTTATGCTAAAGTTTTTATTTCATAGTAGTTTAGAGTTATTGTTCACTTGTCTTGTCTTCTTCACTGTGCGTCAAAAAAAGGATCTCTCATCTTAAACTTTTATATAAAAAATACATATCAGGCAAACTGTTTATATCCATGGGTTTCAAAATTATGCTAAATATAAGGACTGTTTGCCATCGTGATTAATGATTCAGAAATAGATATTGCATCTTTTGAATGGGACAAAAGGTTCTTGAAATGTTGAATTCAATGAACAGACGGATTCAACACAATTATTATACTCCAGATGATCCCTGTGAATTCAAATTATTCACTTTATAGTTGTGTAGAAAAACAACATCTATTTTTTACCATATTTTAGTGATTATGAACACTTTTTCAGTCATTGTAAGTGGTTCGTGAGGCCATTTATTGTCCAATAAACATGTTTTCTATTTTTCAATACTAACAACAGAAACTCTTCTTCTGAGCCTAATTAGAAGTCTCCATCCCCAAGTTCTCAATAGTGTGTATTTCAACTTTAACATCTATGACAGCGTTGACTCTTTTGTGGTAGTTTTGGGAGAAGTTCTTAATCTTAATTTAAATCTTGATCTTCTAAAAACAAGATTATTTGACAATAGCTTGACCCATTTAAGCTGTTGAATGAGCTTATTCTGAGTACATTTTCAAACACAACAATGACAATGTACATTTTATAAGGGTGTGAAAATAGGATGGAAATGTGAGTTCCATGACCTTTTCCATTACTGTCCAAATCTGGCTAAAAGATAGAAAAAGTAACGTACCTTAGGCCTGGTCAGTTTCTTCAGTATGTCATTATCATCCTTCGTCTCGTTCTCCTCTTCCCCCAGCCCACTATCCTCCGTATCTACACTGTTACTCCTTGACGACTTCAGCATCGTCTTCCTCTCTTGCACCACTCCGCTCTGCAGCGCCCTCATCTGGCGCCTGCGTGTAGGCGACTCGTTTCCTAAAAACGGCTTGAACTCCTCCTCCCCGGACTCCATTTTACCCTTGATGGCGTTCACCACTTCACTGCAGCTGCACTCGCTCCGTTTGGGCTGCACGCTTTTGGTGACCGTAGTAGTCCGTATTCCGCTTCCCCCGGGTCCGTTGGCGTCGGCTTCAATCACGCGCGGGGTTACGTTGAGTTTTACCACATGTTGTTTGGCCTTTTCGCAGTCCTCCTCCACGGAAGATGGCATCCAGCCACTGGGGATAGCGTCCTGTTTGCCTGAGTGATCGTTGGCCCAGCCTTGCCAGCTTTTGGCCAAGTTAGCGACCATAGCGGCACATTTTATTTTCTTCACGGCTCGTTTGAAAGCTTGAGGCTCTTGCTGGGACACGGTGGACGCGCCGCTGCTCATTATGCAATTTGACAAAAGCCCGGAAAATGTCTTAATCCAAATACGTTTTTCAAGTTTCCTTCAAAAAACTTCCACTTCTGCAAATATGTCCCCTTTGAAATCTGTAAACTTCTCACGTTTCCATTGACCATCAAAATTCCAAATTTGTAATACGCTTATACTGTTGGTCAAACATTCAAGGCTTGACAACAAATCACAAAAATCCTCTGACGATATTCAAATGTTTTGCTGCTATCTCAAAATCTAGAATTAATCAAACTTGACTTTTTCAATTGCAGATTACGTACTTTCCGTCTCAACATTTCTCCCCAAAAAATTGCAATGACTTTTCAAGCTCTTCCGATGTTGTTCCTCATTCTGAATGTTCTTTATATCCGCTGAAAAGCAAGCGTCCAGGGAAGTTCAGTGCTGCTTGTTGGACTGTTTAGGCAATACGCTCGACTGGCGACAACCGATCCTTTAAATAGCTTTGTGGTGGTCATAAAGGAAGCGATGATGTTTCGAAAGTCCGGTGTCAACATTCTTGAGCAGTGGCTAAGTTCAGGCCATGCTATGGAGCGTGTGAGGGGTGAGCTAGAAGGGAGGAAGGGAGGGACAGTGGGGTGGAATTAGTCCCGTTGGGATCAGGCAACAGGTGCAAGTGTTTTTAGCTCCAGTCCTGACGCACACCAAACACCGGCAATAAACTAATAATACCTGATCTGCTCCGTGTTTTGGAAAAATGACTGGAGCTCAAAGTGGGATTAATTTCAGAAAGCATTTTGTGTTGTATAATTTGACTGGAGAAATGAATGTTATTATGGGGGCATTACTTTTGTTTTGTAACACATAATTCTTTTTTTTATCTTTGTATTATCACAATGTACCAAGAAGCCATCTCTTCGGCCAATCTACAGTGCCTCTCAAAAGTATTAATACAGCTTGAACGTTTGCACATTTTGTCATGTTTACAACCGTAAACATAAACCTTTTATTTAGATTATTTCCAAAAATAGAAAACCGGATAGTTGGGCATGCACAAGTATTCATACAGCATGAGTTAGTACTTTGTGGAACCCCCCTTTGTCTCAATAACAGCTAAAAGTCTGGCACATCTATAGACTGACAATAGCCCATTCTTCTTTACAAAACAACTCGAGATCTGTAAAATGAAACAGAAAGCGTTTGTGAGATTCCTGTTCCAAATGTAAATGGTGCTCTCTTTAGACCATGTACTTTCGTTGTAGATACACGTACACAGGTACAAACCTTCAGGACTGGCTGGGGAACTATTAATGTCACCTGTCGTGTTTGTGTGGCACTTTAGAATGAATGTTGTGTGTAATGTGTATGTCCTGATCAATGTGTCCGGTTATTTAGCGTTTTATTATGCATTTTATTATAGCATTTGTTTTCTGCATTGCATTGTTTTTCTTTTGAAATAAACTAAACCAAACCACATGATGGACTTGGTCAGTTCATCCCAATCTCACCACCTGCTTATGAGACAAGAGGAAAAATACAGACATCTTAAATATACTGTCACCAACTGTATATAGAACCGTATGGACCATAGAATTGGTCCATAAGGGGCAGATGTCCAAAAATGTTGAATGTTGAGATAGAATTACATAAAAAAACAACTGCATGTACTGAGCGGGATGATTGGTTATGTTTGTGGGGTATGTGCACTTTCTTTTACTTGTAAATAATGTTTTCTCTCATAAACTTAATCAATTCTCCTAGCAGACAAACTTCTAAATATATACAGCAAACCTCTCATGAAGCCTCATTTTAATAAGCTAATACACATTTGAACTTGTTTGTGCTGCGTTTTATTCCCCTGAGTTTTCCATCTTTGGACTCATTTTCATTCGAGTATGGAAATTGTAGGATCCACTCTTCCATTGTGGTTTTTTTTTACCTCATTTGAATACACAGTGCATATCATTACTGGAGTGACAGACAGCAAATGTAAGTGTGATGGCTGTCCTGGTAACGCTGTTATTAAAGCGGAATTAAGCAAGAATTAGCAGCTCTCACACGTCTAACACCAAGCTTTGGCCTTATGGAGGATAAACACACAATGATGACACAATGAGATATTATTAAAAGCTGGAACAACTAACTTTTAAACCACCGACAATAGTATGTAATGTAATCAAATCTAACATCACCATGGCAACAAGCGACAGTGGACCCCATCAACAAAGTTGCGCAAGGCAGCATTAAAGCTGGAATACATTACTTTCAAACTGCTTTTTTACTATAGACCATGTAACTAGTTCCTGGCTTTAAAACTGTTCAGTCAGTAGTTTACACATGCTAGTATTTTTGGCCTTTGTCAAAAAAAAGTGAAAAAACAGCGGACCACCCTCACTCAGCCTCACCCTTTCAGCTTACAAAGACATAGAGACTTGGACGCTTAGAGCGTACACAAGATAACAAGTTTTCTAATAAGGCATTTATTCTTTTGTACCTCAGTCTATATAAGCTGCTGAATAACATCAGGTGATTGTGCATTAGTGTCAACATATGTTATGTGTGTATTGTTCTGTTTTTGTGTGTATTGTCTGTTTTGTCTGTTTTTTTTAATTTTATGTCTGTATCTGTGGGTGCTACTGACCCCCCCTCCTGCTCCAAGACACATTTCCAACATAATAAATTGATCTGAATCTGGATCTGAATCTGACATAGACAGCCTGTGGTTTAATTTCTTCTCAACATTTTACCGCTAGAGGTTGAGCAGGCAGTGGAGGCAGGGAGCAGCTCGACTAAGCTGGAGCGTAGACCCAAGACCAGGAGATGACTGGAGATTCAGGGACGAGACACAATCAGATCTAAAGAGATGAGAAGCAGCAGGTATGTGAAGAAAAATCCACTATACACAGACCGGATTTGGTAAACAGAGGTGATGAGGTGTGTCTTGTCTGCTACACTGTAACTTAACATAAACGTAGTCTGGCTTATGATGTCAGAAGAGAGAGCAACTTTGTAGTGCATATATTTAAAGATTGAACACATTTATCACAATATGTTATAACATAATATAAACTTTTCTTTATTTTTATGTGTACATTTTTTTGTATTTTTATATTCCCGTTGTTGTGGGGAAATTATAATTTCGGACAAATTAATAAGTGTAGGCTGGGAAAGTTCTAGGCCGTGCCGTGCATCATTCAATTTCTGTAAAGAAAACACCACAAATATATTCAAAGGGCAAACCAACTCTCTGGAGCCACAACACATCCAGGGCAGAGCAGCAGCAGCTCATGTTTCTCTCGTTGCGTTTGGGAGCACGTGCACGTTTGCTTCTCGTGCACACTCCCACACGCACACTTGCTGCTCTCATGCACGCTCCCACCTGCTGTGCATGATGGGACAGTCACTAAAATAGCACGGGGCAGAGAAGAAACACATGCAGGAAGTGATTATGTCCGTGCTCCCTCATTAGGGGTGAATCAGCTCATTGTTAAAGAAGTAGTTAATGGCTATAAGTATAAGCACGGTAATGGCTATAATAAAAGATGTGTGTATGTCATGAAATAGTCACGGCTAAAAGTATATATAAGATGGATTTTTATTGATTAATTGAGCACCAGGACAATACAATACGATATCTATATAAGATAATAATAACACAAATTAAATCTGCAAGCGGCAATTACAGCCCTCACACTTCTTGTGGTTCAGGTTCCCGATTTGAAACTGTATTATCTTCACAACTATGATAATACATTTTAAAAATTGTTAATTGAAACAACAACGGAAAAAAAGAACAGACAACCATTGAAACCCTTATAAAACAGATTTTTTTATTTGTAACCATGTTAAAACCATGTTCCCACATAAAAAACAGACCTGGAGTTGCTGTAACTGCTAATATGTGGAATTTCAAACATATCCTCAACCAGTTCTGTCTAAATGCTCTTTTTCCAAACTTGGTGCTTGGCTATGATGAATCCTTACGCTCTCTACACACCACATGCATATTTTTTTGCAGAGAGGCTTGTGTTGCGGCTCACATAGAAGTTCACGGGGCTGGGGGAAGCATAGTTTCCCCACTTGAGATAGTGACAGGCGCAGTGACACAGCTTCAGTTAAAATACACCGAAAAAATGTGACAGTGGTTCTGACATGCAGAGAGCGGTTTTCTGCCAATGGGGTGGCTTACAACTGCATGCCTTTCATTATCCGGTGTAATGTTAGATGTTTGTTTAAATAGCCAAATATAGTGACCCGCTTCTATCACTAGATGGGGATGTTTACATTTTCAAAAATGTCTTTTGTTTTCTCATAATGTTATATTTTCTTCTTATGCTGTCTCATTCAAACAAGTAAGTGCAAAGTAAATATCTAATAGCATAAATTAACGCATTTTTTTTCTTTACAGGCTCAAGCGTTACTGAGCCTTTAATCGAATAGTCCACAAGACCAAAATTTGCGATTGTAATGGGATGCCGCGTTCTCATGTCGCCGCAGCTGTTTGGCCGGGTGTTGGCTGTGAATCTTTGGCTTTGGCGTCAGCAGCCACCAAAGCAGATTGCTCTCATACAGACTGCTCCAAACAGACTGCTGCACTCATTCTCACACATATATGTCAGATATGTAACGCGACAACCAAACGACATTCCTCGTTTATTCAAAAGGCCTACATTGTGCTTTGGACCCTGTCCTGTGTGAGTAAATAAGGGTATAAAATAGGTGAACTGGCTGTGATGAAGAGAGAAAATTATGCGTGAAGGTAAAAAAACTGGCTCAGGTCATTACCAAGATATATTGAGCTTTTTGGGATATTTAGCATACATTATCATTTTATAACAGTGTGCCACAGTCATGACAGCAGTCTGATTTATAGAAGAGTACTGGTATAAAAGTTCACTTCCTTCATGGGCTGGCTAAAACCATAAACTGTAAATAGACAGAGTGAGGCCTATTTCCCCAAAAAAACACATTTGCGCATGCGTTAGACAGCATGAGCAAGGACACATGCCATTCATTAAACGACTGCATTTTAAAAG